GGGGGGGTGCAGAGGGGGCGCAGCCCCCCCTGCCTACATGCTTACAACACACGAAAAATGTACACGGTGTCGAAAAACAATAGTTTATTCATGAAACTTTTTTTGTTCATAAGTTTTTTATAAACAATGAGCGACGGATAAAACCTTCATATTATTATTCAGGGAGGTGACCTTGATAACATATGTCAAAATTGTTGAGATCGGAAAGTAGTCCGTATAACTGCATAATTACCCCTTTTTTTTACAGCAGCTTTTTTACCACAATATATACACTTTCTCATAATATTCCCACATAGCATGTAATATTACTGCAATATCACAATAATATTGTTTTTTGACTGCAATATTACACTCTAATATAGTAGAAATATCATAGTAATATTACTGTAATATCACAGTAATATTAAATTGTCCACATTTATAAATATAATTTTACAAATGTTATGGATATATTTTTCATTAATAATTATTCAAACAGTACAATGCAGAGGGATACATAAGTTTGAGTAATATTACTAAAAATGATATTCGCGACATATACACACACAAAAATTTATTAGTTTTAAAATATTTTATTCATACCCGGTAAAACATTTTTCATATATATTTATACACAAATTAAAATAATTATTGTATATCTAATTACGCAAATTTATATGCCGAATATGTTCATACAATTTTATACACAGAGAATTTCTTTTTTTAAGAGAATGGCTTTAGAGATATTCCATATCAAATTACAAAATAACTTTATTAGTATCATGTAAGATTCCAAAAAATTATATAAAACTATATTTTTACTATATTTAAAAAAAATTTTTGATATATAATCATATATATTTATACACAAATAAAAATTATTATATCTAATTATGCAAATTTATATACCGATTATGTCCATACAATTTTATACATGGAAAATTTTTTACTGGGTAGTCCAATGCAATGTATGCAACGTGCCAAATAGTAAATCACGTTAAATAACATCTGTAACGTTTAGAAGACATAATAAAAACATTTGATATATATAATATTGCTACTTGAAATGCAATACAATATTACCGTAATATTTCATTATTATATGTAAATGTAATATGTCAATAATATTATTGTAATATTATATTATAATATCTAATATTACTGATATATTGCAATTTTACTGTGATATTGCAGTAATATTACGTGCTATGTGGGTTTCTTTCTAAGCCTCTATCGCTTTTTATTTCGCTCTCACATTCTATTTCTTATATCTCTATGATTCCAATTCCTCATCCGGATATACTTTATCTTTATCACTCACTAAATATGAAATAAAGATAAAATGATGCACTCGGGTGAGGAATCGAAACGCAACCGAGCGTGACAGCCATTAGGTGCATCCAGGGCCTTAATTCTTGAAAAACTTTTGTATACGAAACTTTACTGTTAATGTCACATATACTATACACTTTCGTATACGCAAATTGTTCAAGAATCGAGACCCAGAAGCACGACCGGCAAGTAGCAATCGACTGTGATTGGCTCTTATTTTAATCTAAACTAATCACAGTCGATTGCTACTTAGCCGCTCACTGAGCGGTCGTGCTTCTGGATGCATCCATCGTAAAGCACAGATCAGGGGGTTCAAACTCGCCATATTTTTTGGCTCCGGAAGTTTTAGTAGTTCATTTCGGAGGTTGCCTGGGCCAGGCGGCAGCACAGTCGGTTCCCCTCTCTTCCTCTCTTCTCTCCTTGCCTACAAGTTGCTGAGTGCCATTAAAGTGTATGAAAGTGCATATGAAAGTGCATTAAAGTATTGTGA